AAAAAAAAAAAAAAAAAAACCAAAGAGCCTGGGGAAAAACATTCCTGGCAGAGGGAACTTACGTGCAAAAACTCTAAGGTGGGAAAGTGGTCTTGGAATTGGGAGAACCATTGAACCATTGAGAGAGATTGGGTTGGTTAGGTACACTTTTTTATTCTAAGAGAGGTTATACATGTATACAGAGGGTGCAAAAAAATGTATATACATTTTAGGAAAGAAAAAAAACTGTGTTAAATTAGTAATGCTCAAGTTACATTTGAGTTCTGCAATTACAAGTAGCCTGGTGGCTCATACCTATAATCCTAGCACTCTGGGAGGCCAAGGCGGGTAGATTGCCTTAGTCCAGGAGTTTGAGACCAGCCTGAGCAAGAACCAGAGCCTGTTGCTAAAAATAGCCAGCATTGTGGCAAGTGCCTACAGTCCCAGTTACTTGGGAGGCTGAGGTGGGAGATTGCTTGAGTGCAAGAGGTTGCTGTGGGCTATGATGCTATGGCATTCTACCAGGGCTACAGAGTGAGACTGTCTTAAAAAAAAAAGAGAGAAGTGCTTATCGTGACTCCTATTCTTTTGTTATCAGTATATATTGAATATTATAATTTTAATACAGTTGTTTCCTTTCTTAAAATGTGTATACACATTTCTCTGAGGGGAACAACCCCAGAAATCTTCAAGGATCTTCTAGGCTAACCCTCTATTGTAAGAATCCTTGTCATCCTATTTTTGGTACTTGAATAACTCTGTAATAAGGAGTCAAGCAGTCTGATTTTATTTTCAACTGCTAAAATTGTTAGAAACTTCTTACATTAAGCTGGGTATCTCTCACACATTGATCCTGGTTCTTTCCTTCAGGCCCACACAGAATAGTACAAGCCCTCTGTCCTCGGACAACTCTTCAGCTATTTAAAGACATTTGTCTAGTCTCCATTTGAGTATTTTGTAGGCCAATCAGCTTCTGTTCTTTCAGTATTACCATGTAACATATCAGTTTCTGGGTTGTTGCTTAAATTGGGACATGTTTCATATTGTCCCCCTGAGGGTGGGCTCTGGAGTGGACATATTATTGCAGGCATAGTCAGGGGCTAGTTTCGTCCTGTTTTGACTGTGTAGTTCTAGTACCACAGATAAAGATTGAATTGGCCTTTGGCTTTTTTGTGAGCAGTTAGATTTTGGAGGATCTAGGGAGGACTTGGCCCTTACCTTATTATGTTTAATTCTTTTAGATTCAGGGTTTTATGTATGAAGACTATTTGGGGATCCCATTTTATTGTCAGTGTTTTAGCTGATCTTGTAATAGTTTTGTGCTTCTAAGATTCAAAGGAATGCTATCGTCACCTCATCTAGAACATTCATAAATATCTTAATGCTGCAGAACTTTTCAGAGATCCCTTTGACAGATCACTTCATTATTTAATCATTACCCAGCATCTTTTGAGTATAATAATCAACCAATCAATTACTCATTACAAATTCTTCTAGTATGTTCATTCTTTCATCTCATTCTTTCCTCCCACCTCTACCCCCATCATCTTATCTAAATAGAAACTTTCCTTCTGGGCCTGTTTTTCTTTGTTTTTATTTTTATTTATTTATTTAAGAGATGGGGGTCTTGCTGTGTTGCCCAGGCTGACCTCAAACTCCCAGGCTTAAGCCATCTTCCCACCTTAGCCTGCCAAGTAGCTGGGACTGACTATAGGTATGCGCCACTGTGCTGACTGGGCCTGTTCTTTTTAATACTGCATCTGGTTTCTTTCCTTTGTTACCCTTATAGATTAGTAATTGTTTGAGTAGTGTCTGTTTTTCCCAGCCGGTTGTATATCCATAGATTGTAGGCCTACCATAGGATCTGCACAAAGTAGGCACTTAAAGATTCATTGAATTAATGCTTGCTTAATGCTTAATACTATCATCTACCCCATAAAAAAATTCTGTTATGGTATCTGTCAAGTGATTGCTGAAATCCATTCTTACCCTGTTAAATTATCTTAATCTTGAATTTTAGAAGCCTAGGTGATATGAATTATACTAAGTAAATAAATGCCAGCTACTAATTCTCTTGTGAATTAACCTCCTAAATTTATTGCAAGCTGCTGTGGGTATTAGCAAAATTAAGAAGACAATTCCTGCCTTCGAGACATTGATATTTATAAGGGGCAGCAGAGGCTGGGTGCGGTGGCTCACACCTATAATCCTAGTGCTCTGGAGGCTGAGGTGGGTAGATTGCTTGAGTTTAGGAGTTCGAGACCAGCCTGAGCAACAGTGAGAGCCCGTCTCTACTAAAAATAGAAAAAGTAGCTGGTCGTAGTGGTACATGCCTGTAGTGCCAGCTACTTGGGAGACTGAGGCAAGAGGATCTCTCAAGCTCTAAAGAGTTTGAAGTTGCTATGGCACCATGGCACTCTACCCAGGGTGACTCTGTCTCAAAAAATAATAAATAAATAGAAGGGGCAACAGTGAAAACAAGTATACATATCACTAGAATATACAGTAATTCAAAGATAGGAGAGATCTCTTCTGGTTAGAAAGAATATTGGCTTGGAGAATGGGATATCATCTGGGCCTAAAGTATAGATTTCAGGGGAGGGGAGGGCATTTGAGACATTAAACGTGAACAGGCTCGGCGCCTATAGCTCAACCAGCTAAGGCGCCAGCCACGTACACCTAAGGTGGCGGGTTCGAATCCCCAGCCCGGACCCGCCAAACAACAATGATGGCTGCAACCAAAAAATAGCCGGGCGTTGTGGCGGGCGCCTGTGGTCCCAGCTACTTGGGAGGCAGAGGCAGGAGACTCGCTTGAGCCCAGGAGTTGGAGGTTGCTGTGAGCTGTGATGCCACAGCACTCTACCCAGGGTGAGAGCTTGAGGCTCTCTCTCAAAAAAAAAAAAAAAAAAAAACGTGAACAAAGGATGTAAATCTTTCTGACTTCTGTTATAACTGAAATTTCTTTAATGGGCAATTTAAGTTTTTCATTCTATAGTGACTTCTATGCAAATCCTTGAGAGCAGTTATAAAGCGGAAACATAGTCACTGTCAATTTCTCAGTGACAGCCAGAGCCTTTCCTGCACCCAATTGAAAGGGTTTAGAATGCCCATGGTGATCCTTCCAGACCTCTAAGGAAAGGGAATAGTACATAGAGAAATCCAGGAGAGAAATTTTGCCTTGGTTCATCCCCAAACACGGCTTAGTGAAATTCTTTTTGGGGAGAGTATTTGAAGGGGAGGATAGTCAGAAATGTCTTACACAGGGATCTTATCCAGATATTTTAGTGTGTGTAGTTTTATAATGAGTTCAAATTCTTGCTAGAGATTTGTTGAATAAATACTGCTGGTCCTTTCATCTATTTTGCAGTAGTTCTCTAATGAATGTTGATGATGTATCATATGAAATGATGACATAATTTAAATTAATTTCTTATGCAGCATTGCAGAGGAAACAAGAATGAGCTGCTCACTAAAATTATCTAACCATCCTGCTTGCTATTAAATTGAAATGATTGTTTATTTAGTTTTGCGAGTTTGTGTGTGTGTGTGTGTGTGTGTGTGAGAGACAGAGTCTCACTATGTCACCCTCGGTAGAGTATCATGGCATCACAGCTCACAATAGCCTCGAACTCTTGGGCTTAAGCAATTCTCTTGCCTCAGCCTCCCAAGTAACTGGGACTACAGGTGCCCACCACAACACTTGGCTATTTTTTGTTGCGTCCCAGCAGGTTGTATATCCATAGATTGTAGGCCTACCATAGGGTCTGCACAATCCTAAGATTCAGTAAATCTTTAAGTGCCTACTACTGTTGGTATTTTTAGCTGGCCTGGGCCTGGTTTGAACCCACCAGTCTTGGTGTATGTGGCTGGCGCCATAACCTCTGTGCTACAGGCACCCAGCCTATTCATATACTTCTTATATTTCTTTTTCTTTTTTTTTTTACACATGTTCTCACTCTGTCTCCAGGCTAGAGTACAGTGGTATAATCATAGCTTGCTACAGCCTCAGACTCCTGGGCTTAAGACATTCCTCCCCATTCAAAAGGATTACAGGAGTGTGCCACCACAACCAACTAATTAACTAAGATAGAGTCTCACTGTGTTGTTCCAGCTGGTCTTAAACTCCTGTCCTCAGGCAAATCCTCCCAAAGTGCTAGGGTTATAGGCCCAAGCCACTGCACCTGGCCTGGATATTTCTTTAACCTTGAATTAAAGCAAAGAGAACTATAGTTTAGAATAGTACATCAATCTGTGTTTAAAGAGACCCTATCTGCCCTAGACTTAGTACTCAAATAAAATAACATTATTTAATCTTAGCACATATTGAACATTTATGCACATGTATGTTGTTATAATCTGATTTTATCTCAAATATAATGTACACCTATAGAAACTTGTATAAAACAGGATAGTTTAATATTTCCAGCTCCTGTTCGACACAGTGGAGACCATGGGAAAAGACTGTTTGTCATCAGACCTTCAGGATACTACGACAGACGTTTTTTGAAGTTATTGGTGAGTTAAAATTTTTTAATTAAACTTTTGCACACAAATGGGAAAATATTTTTTGCCTTTTTAGGAAACATCTTTCATCTTATAAAAGATTTTATTTTGTGTCTGGGCATGGTACTCTCTCCTGTAATCCTAGCCCTCTTAGAGGTGAGGCAGGAGGACCACTTGAGGTCAGGTGTTCAAGCTAAGCCTGAGCAACACTGAAACCCATCTTTACTGAAAACAGAAAAATTAGCCAGGCATTATGACAGGCACCTGTAGTCCTTGGGAAGCTAAGGCAGTGGTATCACTTGAGCTCAGGAGTTTGAGGTTGCTTTGAGCAGGCTAATGCCATGCCATTCTAGCCTGGGCAACAGAGTGAGATTCTGTCTCAAAACAAAAAATAGCCGAACTCAGTGGCTCACCCCTGTAACCCTAGTGCTGTGGGAGGCCGAGGTGGGTGGATTGCTTGAGTTCAGAAGTTTGAGACCAGCCTGAGCAATAGTGAGACCCTGTCTCTAAAGATCCCTTGAGCCCAGGAGTTGAAGGCTACAGTAAGTTACTTAGGAGGCTGAGACAAGAGAATCGCTTGAGCCCAAGAGCTTGAGATTGCTATGAGCTGTGACTCCAGGGCACTCAACTGAGGGCATCAAAGTGAGATGCTTTTCTGTATTATGGGGGTTTTGAAATATAATCTGTATTTTGAGCTTTAAGAGTACAAAAATCGGCTCGGCGCCTGTGGCTCAAGCGGCTAAGGCGCCAGCCACATACACCTAAGGTGGCGGGTTCGAATCCCCAGCCC